GTTTGAGTTACGTTGGAAAAAACCCAGGACAGACAAAGGTTGGATGCCAAAATAAAGGTAAGTTTACAAAAATGTTTTAGATTCTGGAAACCAGTGGTGTAGGAATAACAGGAACAAGGGATCGCATAATATTTTCCATACAAATATTTACTGACTCCAAGGGCAATAGCAGTAAAATCTCACCCCAGGGTGAAACTTACACTGAGATTGGGATGGATGGGCAGTGGATCTTTATTTACTCAAGGACAAATGCATTTGACGTATTAGCCTGGACTCTCCACAGTGGGGTGTTGTATGTTTATTTGCTCTTATGAGGTTACTCTTTCTGGTCTATCCTATAACTACTGTCTGTTTTTTATACAGTTTGCTTTTTCCCAGAGAGACCTAGAAGCTTGTAGAAACATGTAGAGTTATATAATGGTCTCCGTAGTCTGAAGACAGCCTTCTCAGACAGGAGTCCACAGAGCTAGAGAGGAAAGGGGACATGTAAGAGTAGTATATTTCTACATCAAATTTTTACTTGTCTTTTAAGTAATAATACAAAGTGTTTAGTTCATTACTACTCATTTCTTGAATAAAAATAGTTTCATCTCCACTCCCAGGAAGTCTGATTAATTCTTCTAGCTGTACTTCTTAAAAGATAAAGTCTTTTCCAAATAATGACTGTAATTTACATGTTTTGCTGAATTGTTTGAATATTGCAATAGAAGCCTTTTCCTAATTAAGTGTAATCAGATTGTTAAGGTATGATTAGAAAACTACTGTCAGTGACTTCTCTCGTGTTCATGGTTACTGGGATTTAGTTATAGTCCTTGTAGTGTAAATAGATGTTGTTCTTGTAGCTTCCCCTTTTGCTCCAGATGTAAATAACTGACAAATTCAGTATAAAAAGGATAAATTAAAATTATATGTGAAGGGAAAAGCCATGGAAACTGCCTCATGAACTACGACAGGAACGGAAGGGTAAAGTGACAAGAGGAATTGGATGGACCTGCACAAAGGCGTGCAGATGTGAGTCTAGTTCCTATGGACAGAAAATGGAAAAGGGGAGAAGAAGAGAGGGCGAGAGTATCCCACACACATTTTAAATAAGTTCCGAAATGAAATCTCATAGACAGGAAGAACCTATTACTAATAAAAATAGCCAACAGACTCAAAAGTTGGAAGAGGACTCGGTTCCAAATGAAATTAAAACCCAAAAACAATCTGAAAAACACTAAAAAGTAATTAGAATCTTTGGAGATATAAAAGAGTAGAAATTAGGAAATATAGATAGGTAGTGATGTTATAATAGATGAGTATTAAGAAATTAGAAAACAACAAAGTCAATGAAATAAAAGAGTAAGTTATAGACAGTTAAAGAAATGGGGCCAAGGATATAGCTCAGTGGCACAGCGCCTGCCTGCCTGCCTGGCATGAGGTCATGAGTTTGTTTCCCTGTACCAGAAAAAAAAAAAAAAGATGAAAAGAAAGAAAAACCTGACTTGAAGATGGTGCTAACAAGATCACACAAATGGCAGCCCAAAAGTGAGTGATTTGGGCAAAGAGAAGTAAGAAATATAGAAAAGATCATGTCAGAGAAGCAGGATATGAAATAAAATGCTAGCCAAAACTCGGGGAAATACAGAATAACTATTCCTACTGTGAAGATAAATAAGTAAAAACAAGACCCTGCATAGTTATGTGATGGTGAAACTGCAGAAAATCAAAGCTGACAAGAAAATCTTAAAATCTGCCAGATGTGAAACACAGATTAACTGTATATAATTTATCAACAACTGGAATTTACAGAAGACAAAGGAATTATATCTTTATAGAACTAAGGGAAAAACCATTATCTAGAGCTAAACTTGCTGAAATTTTATTTCAAATATGTGAATGTGCGGGTCCATGTCTAGCCATGTTAATGGACTAGATATTGTGAGACCCTTTGGCTGTAAACTTCTAAAACGCTGGATAATGTAAAACATACTCAAAATGCAAAACTAAGCTTTTGAGAAAGGAAGAGAAATCCTCAAACCAAAAGTAAGGTAAAGCATGGATCTGGAGTGGTGGCCCGGTGTCAAAGATTCTGCCTCCATGGACAGTTGCCAGCCTCAGCATCCGAAGCCTTTTGGCTTCACAGTTGGTGCCCGGAAAAAAAACAGGCAATCAGAAAAGTGTGAGCAATTCCAGAAAACCAAATATAGGGTGGCGATATCCATACAGAGACAGGGTCCACTTTAGTAAAAGGTAAATTACGAAAAACAAGCAACAACAAAGAACCCATCCCATGAAAAGAGACTGCAAGGAAAGTGATCTGGCTTGGATCTGACTGTCGAGAGAGGGAGGACATCAAAAAGCGTCCCCCAAAAGCCTCCAGGAGACTTTTACGTAGGGATAGACTTTATATTCACTCTGCCTTATCAAAAAAATAATTAACATTGGTCTAGAGAGATGTTGCGTGGGTCATGTGGGAAGGAGCTTGTCTTCAATTCAGATTTTTAAATTCCCGTAGAGACATCTGAGCATGAATGAACTAAAAATCAGAAAGACTCGTGGAGAAACAACGTGGGTGTCAGTGCGGTGACAAATGGTAGAATCAGATACACAGAGAATCGGATAATGGAATCTTCAGACGCAGACAGTCAAGTTAGTGTGTTTAAAGTCAAGAGATAAAACAAGAAATTAAAAATCTAAATGAGAAACAATAAACTAATAAAAATATCTGGAAGATTTTTTAAAAATCAAATATTAGGTTGAAACATATAGAACTTGCAATTTTATCACCAAAAATGGTTAAATATTGACAATGAATATGGCTCAACCTGTTCAGAATATTTAGAAGTTAAAATACGTAAATTTAAAAATTATGCATTAAACAAGTAAGTGGGAAGGGAGACCTAATGAAATTACCAACAAAGCACAGAGAGTAAATGAAATTTGTAAAATATGCACAAGCTAAGAGATGCAGAAGAAATATTGAAAAGGTTTATCAATGTCTTTCAATGAACTTAAAAAATAAAATATGTGTGTGAAAATAACAGATAAGATTTCAGAGTTAGCAAAAGTATTAATCATGTAATCAAAATAAATCTCAAGCGGGAAAAACAAAAACAAAGATACATCTAGATACAGTGTTTTAATGTTTTTTGTTTTTTAATCAGTACCAGGGATCGAACTCACAACTGCCTGCTTGCAAGGCAGGCACTTATGCTGCTGAGCTAAATCCCTGCCCCTAGATACACTGTTGTTAAACCTTGAACTCCAAAGACAAAATCTGAATTCATTTAGAATGTACACATAGTGAAACAATATCTCAGGGAATGAATAAGGATATGTTGTAATTGTTTCTCCTTACACAGGCAGAGTCAGCAAACTACAGTGTAATAATAATAATAACATGATTCTGTGAGGATTCACTAAGTTAATGTGTATCCTTGTTTCCCTAAAAGTAAGACCTAGCAAGAAAATAATCAGCCTTGAAAACCGAATTCCTCCCCTTAAAAGTTCCAAGTGAACTTTTGAATAGTGCCAAGCTGGGGACCAACCCTTTAATGTACAAATGTTAATATCCAAATGCCTTGGGGATATTCCACATTCAGACTATTACATATTGTGCTTTTCAGTCTTGTATGGTTATGTCTTCAGTATGAAATTTCCCTTCATGAATAAAAATTCTGCTTTTTGCTATGTTTTATCTTGAGCAACATTTTTAATTTTTGTTTTCCTCTAACTTACACAAATGAAAGTGTTTATTATAGGAAACTATAAATAAGAAACACCGAAAATCACCTTTAGATAAACTTTCATTTTTAAGAGAATTTTTTATGATAACGAATGCTAATTAAAGTGAAATCCAGAAAAAACACAATAAAGAAAACAAGAATCCTATCACTCAAAGATGATCACTGTTGAGATTTTTAAAGTAAAAGTATCCACTTGTTCTGCATACGTATATAAATGCATAAGTAATAGAATTATACTCTGTAAGCCATTTTATGCCTCTATCTTTTCTAGTAGAAATATACCATGAATATATTTTTAACTCAAAGCCATATGTCTGCCAAATCATATTAATGGCTGCTGCCATTTCTCTATATGAATCAGTGTCATTTACTTTGCCATTCACTGTTATGTATTTAATAACCTCCTTTCATTTCGTGAAATACTATTGTTTTCCTCTTATGAACTGTCCTGGGCCAGTGCCCTTTTATGTATGTCTTAAGCACTTTAAAATTGTTTCCTCATGATGTAGTTCTACAGTAACTAGTTAAGAATGCATGTTCACTGAGAATTAAACATCCATAAATTAAAACAATCGTAACATGTAATTTTTCACACATTCATGGGCAGAGGCTTTATTAGATTATATCCTTCAGTGTGCTGCTAGGATAGGACAATGGGCGTTCCCACACTTTGGTGGGGTGTCTATTGGGGGACTCTTCCTTGGAGATAATTTGGAAATATGGATCGAAAGCAGCTGCTTGGTTTTTCATTTTTCAGATATTATATGAGAAAACCTGATTTTTCCACGATCTTATTGGAAAGGAATCACATTTTTATATATATGTATATATATTGTAAATCCAGTGCTAACATAAAAGAATTTTCTTAGGGATACTCTGAATAATGAACCCTGGTGCCCTTACGATGTCCGTTTAAGTGTGTTTTTGAGCATTTAAAATGTCTTTTGACGCTTCTATAAATCATCATTGCCTTGGGACTCTGCTTAAAACCAAACCAAGATTTTATTTTTGATAGTTGGTGGAAGGGCAGGATGGGAAAAATATCTGTTGCTTTTCATTCTGGATCTGTTCAAATGGGTAAGATCTTTCAACAGCCTCTGACATTTCTTGCCTCTCAGCTCTATGTTTCTGTATTTTAATTGTGTCTGTTGCGAGAGATGCTGTGGCTGTGGCGTCCATACAGAGTCTACCATCTGGAGGTCCAAGAAGAACTTGGAACCTGATGGCTGCATGCTGTCACTGTTCACCTTTTCCTCTTGGGTCCTGGTGTAGGTGGCACGTGGGCTCCTGGGGGCCCTGCTCAGCTTCCTGCGGGGTTGGCATCCAGACCCGGGAAGTGCACTGCCTGCACCCAGAGGAGTCCCCTGCGCCTCCAGAGAAGTGTGGAGACGGAAAACCCCACGCCTTACAGGCATGCAACCAGTTCGACTGCCCTCCTGCCTGGCACATTGAAGAGTGGCAGCAGGTACAGTCACCATGCTTAGGTGGTGAGGGGCCTGCATGGTGCCACCAGGCAAGGGCCCGCTGTAGCCTCACCACCTCCTGTCTCCACAGTGTACCAGGACATGTGGCGGCGGCACTCAGAACCGAAGAGTCACCTGTCGGCAGCTGTTAACAGATGGCAGCTTTTTGAATCTCCCTGATGAACTGTGCCAAGGACCCCGGGCATCCTCTCACAAGTCCTGTGCCAGGACAGACTGTCCTCCACAGTTGGTGGCAGGAGACTGGTCCAAGGTAAGGGCTGCTGTGCTGCGCAGCTCCTGCCTTCTGCCCCTCGCCCGCTTTTCAGATTCTATGTCCTTGTGGGACAAGGCCAGGACCAGTGTGAGACGTGGGGTGCCAATCACAAGTGGTGCCGCGTGTGGACTGCGCACCCTTTCCAGGGCCAGGCAGAAAGATTCATTTGCCATTTTCATCCATATTATCTAAACTGTTTTGTTATCTTCCTTCCACTGTGATCTCTTCTTTTGGAACCACTGGCATCTCAGTATCTCGGGATGAACTCAAAAGTAGTTTGGTTGCTCTCCTCCTGTGTTTCTTTCCTGGGGAATCACCCATTAACCCCTCTTATTTCCACTTTCTGAACATCTTCTTTGTCTTCATTTCCTCTACAGTCTGTTGCTGCTCCTGTTCATTCTACCTTTCTTCATAAGCTTGGAATATTGCAATAAATAGACTTCCAGACTTTTGTTTGGGTCCTGGCAGGACTTGACCCAGTCTAGTAAGGATGTCTTATTTTTCAGGTGGGGAAAATTCAATTCCGTAGCTTAAATAAACTCCCTCAGATGGCAAAGTAGGAACTGAATCTATTCCTTGTGACTGTTTCACAGGTCCCTTCCTTTATGTGACACTGCTCATCTGATTTCCCTGCCTCTCTTATCACTGTCCCATCTCCAGACTGCTTGAAAAACCATGTTTCCCTAACTGTGCTAATCACACCAAATACTCAAGTCTCCCTGCTTGCAGAATCAAGCTCCCCAGAGTAGCTTACAGGGCTTTGAATTCATGGTGTTACTGCAGCTCTGTAGTCTTTCTCCAGGCCTTGACTCCAGGCTGAAGTTTTAGCACAAACTGCAATACAGATCATTCATATGAGTCATATTTGTCGCAATCTTGTACTGTCAGGTCACTGCCACCAGATGTCTGTCTTCTGGGAGTAGAGAGCCAATCTCGGCATCAGATATAACCTCAAGAAACTAGAACAGGCCATAACTAACACTCACAAATTTCCCTGAGCACTAGTTCAGGCCAACCACAGTCACACTTGCTCTCCTCATCTGGAAGCAGCTATTGTTTCTGCTTACATAGGGGAGGGAACAGAGGTCCATTCAGAGTAAGTAACTGAGCTAAAGGCAGAGCGAGGGCTCAAACTCAAGTCTGTGTGATGTAAGTTTATTGAAGAGTAGACATTTCAGTTTTTCAGGCAAGAGCAAAACTGTTTCAGCCAAAGCAACTTTCCTTCTGTAGAGCCCAGCTCTCCGGTCTGTAAGTTGGGTGTCCTTCTTCAGTGTACCTAACCTCTGAGCCCTCGTTTTCCTTTCAGTAAATGCTTTGGTTATTTTTAGGATAATATGAGATGTTTGATATGAAAACATCCAGAAGTGTAGGCCTTTTTCATTCCCCTTGAAGGAAAAGCCACATTTCTGGCCACAGATTGGGTTGACACTACTTCTATAAACATGTTCATAGATTTGTACTTCTCCTTTAACTGTCTAGCTCCATTAAGAGCTAATATCATAAAACTGTCTTAACTATTAAAAAATCTACATAAATGTTTCCCTAAACACTCATAAAATATCCAAGAAAAGCAACGAATCTTTCTCCTAGGATCTGCAGAGCAATAAAGGCCTCAGATCCCACCACCATAACCCACTCCCTCTGTTAAACTTGAAAGGATCTGGGGACAGGCCAGTGGCCAGGATTCTCCTAAGGTGCCACACTGGAGCTCAGTGGCATGAGGGACAAGATAACTGTCTTCTCTAGCTCTTGGGTCCTAAACTAAAAGGCACAGCTACTGCACAGGAGCCAACCTCCCTGATCTGGGACGAAGGAGAAGACAGTCCCATTAAGCTTTTCCAGAAAAGCTGCTTCATTTGATTTCCCCTTCTATTTTCTCATGGAACAATATCAGCCCCAAAGAAGAGACATTATTAGGAAATTCTTTTGGGACTGGATCAAATAGGAGGTCAAGACAAAGATTAGAGAGGAAGATCTCTAGTCTTGTGGACAGTATTTGTCTAGGCCAACCAACTCCGCCCCACTGAAAGGGAAGGAACATGATTCTGAAGAGAGAAGGCTTTTTCTCCTTGGGATACGTAGTGTGGGGGACCAGTCAGATAGACATCATGGGGGAGCTTGTAAGAAATGAAGAATCTCAAATTTCACCAAGAAGGAGAATCTGGGTGTTGGCACACACACTGAGCTTGAGAAGTATTTCTGTACTTGCCCCATGTGGGTTTGGATTACTCAGCCCTCCAGTGTGCCTGAGGAAGAAATGGCCCTGCGTGGTGACATCCTAGAGCAAGTACTGCACTGATTCAAGAGGGGCCAGACGTGGAAGGACAGGGTAAGAAGCCAGGCATCGACTCCCGAGTGCCCCAAGGAACTCCTAGAGCCACTGCTATGCTCTGAAATACCCACTGTCCGCCTCTTTTATTTCTACTACGGACAAAGAGATCTTCACAGTTCCATCATGTCTGGTGGAATAAACTTTACTCTGGGCTTTTAGAGTGGGAAGAGGAGATAACATTGCCGCTTTCCTCTCTGGCCGGTTCTCTGAGCCAGTAATGTGACCTGCAGTTGCTAGTTGTGTGTCGCTGATGTCCCAGCACCATGCACACACTGGCCTTTGTGTCTGTGATCCTGAATCTGAGGGCTCTCAGTTTCCTTCCTTCCTCTGTAAGCCTTTTACTCCCTAGAATGATGCAGCATTTCCCACCTTGAACTCACAGTGACCTTACTTTTTATTGTATTTCAATGCAGTGCTACTTCCTGAGCAAACCATATGGTCTTCCTATCTTTGCTGTAATATTTCTGAGGCCAAGAGGTCCTAGGGCCCTGCAGAACTCCAAGATTATAATAAATACACTCCCTTAAGTGTCTTTGCAAAGTCATAGAAAATGCAGAGTAGTGCTGAAGTGGCGAATTTTAGAAAAACTTAGGCCTTCTAACACAAGAGAGGAAAGTCATTTATTGGGAGGGATTTTCCTGGGAGAAACAAGAGAAGGGAATGAAAGTGGAGGTTACCTGCATGATCTGAGTTGGACCTGGGCAAAGTCGGTTCATCAAGACACAGAGTGAGTGCTCATATAACCAGGTGGTCTGTCAAGACTCCTGCACTCCAGACCAAGGCCACACCTCCAAGAAACCCAAGCCCGGAGGAACAGGAAATGCACACACATGTGAGGAAGGCAGAGCTAACCTCGGCCTGAGACACTGACAGCCATGTCTGGACTTGGGTCCATCCAGGCTTACGACCTGGTACGTAGCAGTTCAAGTTTCCTCCTGAGTTCAACTTTTCTCCTGTTAGTTGAAATTTCCATTCATTTCAGAGTTGCTTTGTTTTGGCAGTGACTTTGGCACTAAGTTGCCACCCTTCCCAAAAGCTTCCTGCCAAACTACTCTAGGTGCCATGGGATGGCTCATTTGGGGGCAGCCATCCATCTTGTGGTTCTGGATAAAGCTCTTCCATATGGGGTCTGGCCGCTACCCCTAGAAACGGAAGGGCTGAGGAGCCACACCAGAATTTCCATTCTTCATCATGCCAGGCCTGCTGGCCTACAGCTGGAACAGTCCCCACTCCCTGCATTGGCTGGATTCATGGTGTGTTGGAGCTTTGTCCATTCATTGGCTCATTAGTTTGCCTTGGTTCCTCAGATCTGGACCAAAGCTTTGTGTGGAAAGGAGCCTTCAGTTCTGATACAGCTTTCCAAGTTTTAAGAAAAAACCTTTGATTCATCAATGGCAGTCTTTCTCAATGGTGGATGTCTGTGACCATACCCCTCAAAGCCTGTTCTGTGCCCTCATTCTGAGGCTGGAGCCTTCTCCCCTTTATTTTCTGTGCTTTGATGGAGCTTTGGACTGTTTTGTCTACTTTCATCTTTCTCTTTTGTGATGTTTCTGGGTGTTTGGGTTTTTCTCTTACATACCTAACTGCATCTGGCCTGTTGATTTTTCTTTTTCTAACTTTTCGCAAAACTCACTATTTGAGCTTTGAATTTCCATTGCTTTACTTTCTTCTGTAGTTGAGGAAAGAGTCATCACTTCTCTAACTCTTACAGATGACACTTCATCTCTAGGAGCAGACTCATCCTCAGCATCTCATCCTCAGGTCTACATGCAGAACAAATACATTCCATTCCCATCATAGGAAAGCAGGGAACAACCTCTCCACCGAGCCCCAGCCCATTCCTCACTCTCTTCCCGTCTCTGTGGCAGGTACCCCACCTTGCAATAAAGCCTGACTTCTTCACTTCCTGTGTCCAATGGCTTATACCGTCCCACTCTTCAGTTCTTGAAATATTATCAATATTTTAAGTAAAGAAAGAAAGAATCTTTATAAATGAGAATTTTTACAAAGAACATGGGGTTCACATACATTTCCAAATATAGCATTGTAGTTTTCAAAAGATATACTAGTTTTGATTTATAGACATAGTCTTGTTTAGGGGCCAATTCATACCGGCTTGTGAGAGCCAATTATAAGTTTTCCCATCTTGTGCACAGTGACAGTGAATTGACAGCTTGAAGTCAGTCATGAAGGAAGTACTTACACCACAGAAATCGGTGGAGTGACCAGGGTTCTTTCCTTCAAGAACCTGGATACTGTCAAGGTTCTTGCACACTCTCTCTCATCCTGTGCCCATGCACATTCACATGCACAGTCTTATTGATGAAACAGGTTGAGCTCATTGGTGGTACTTAGATGGAAAACCCTCAAGAAGTTAGAATCCCCACAATTTTTTAAAACACAAATTCTAAGAAGCTTGATTGGGCTTCTCTAAAATACTTCTAAATCTTTTTCTTCATAACTGGTGTTTGACAGGCTGAGGAAATATGTCTGGATGCAGTTCTAGCAATTGAAAATCCTGTGGAGTTAGTTGGGATTTTGTGTGAGATCTGTGATCCCAATGAACTAATTTTTTGTTCATGTGCTCCTTCTGTGAATAAAGAATATTCTAGTTCTCAAGGTTAATTCTAAAAGCTTTTCTGTTCTTCTGTCTTAGTTGTATTTT